AATTTTAGCAGATTCAGACACCTTACCTACAGCATCCTGTGACACCACCCAGAGTGTCATTGCTTCTAAACTGAAGCTGTTCCCTCCCAAAGATTAAACTAGGAGACAGGATGGATAGGCTGACATATCTAGACCTATCCTAAGTTTTGCTGGAGTTTCATTTTTAGTTTTTCTCCCAAGTAACTTCACTTATAAGGATATTTGCATAAAGGGAGATCTCCAAAGCTTAAGAGCTCAGCTGGGATAATGTAAAGCAAAAGCTTTACAATCTGCAGCATGCATACGAGACAGTGGATCTCCAAACCGGATTTGTCTTGGGAAAGGTGTAGGGAAAAAATACTGTCAGCCTGCTTTTGCAGGCCAGGTAGATCAGGTAAGCCTGTTGAATCTCTCACCTACAGCTTCTGTTTCTCATTCAGCCAAGAAAATGCACAACTGTTTAACACAGCTGCTTCTAACCAGACCCTTGCCAAAAAAAAAAAACCTAACATGGACACTGACAGTACTAGAGCTGTAAGAAGGGAAAACCACCGAGAACAACTGGGGGATAAAAGAAGGAAAGAATAATGTGATCATAAGTATCTGTTTAAGTAGATTATTTCCCCCCACTGGTGAATTAAAAGAACTCGCTGCAGAAATGCTGAAGTAGTGTACAGAAGCCATAACTTCAAGTGCACAAATAATCCTTTGCTTGTCCAAAAGGCTAAAAAAACACTCATATCTATTGGTTGAATGATGAAAAATGCACCACACTGAGTGGGATGTTAAATACTGCAGGAAAATCTGTCTTAGTGGCCACTACGCTAATCAACACTGCTAGCACTGTTAGTCACAAGCCAAGCCTCTCTCAGTCACACCACTCAAGAGCTATGTGACACAGTCTCGTAAAATGGACTCGTGTGTTGAGAGAGGAGAATAAGACAGTATAAAGTCATGTTCCAGTCCAAATCCATCAGTAGAATGTGGTGTCTCCCTAGTGATTATAACAAAACAAAAACCCAACAATTTTGAAAGCTATTAGAGCTCATTATGAAGTTTCTATTATAAATAATTTTTATGGTGTATAACTCAAAAAGCAGGGGAAGCGTCTGATATCACTGTGTTCAGAGCTCAGAGAACGTTTGCTACTGGATCAGAGCCCTGCTAATGGTACAAGAGAGGTAAAAGGGGACAACATGACAACAGGGGCAACTTCAGCCGCTGGGAAACAAGGCAAGCTTTTAACTTCTATTTCCCAGTTGCAGGCTGTTCAGTGACACCTGAAAAGTGGAGCATATGGATGGTACATGCTGGAAGAGATCCTAAAACCCTGTAATGTGCAAAGCCAAAACCCCATAGGGTAGATCAGTATTTTTACATGTGAGCGAGAAATACCCTACATAGATAATAGATACAAATTAAAGAAACTTGTGCAGAAGAGATTCTGTAAGGTCCTCTCCCTTTTCTGATGGGGCCAAGGAATGAGTGATACATTGCCCATGAAGTCTGAAAGCAGAATCACTCACCTAATGCTGCCACCACCACACTGACCGGTGTAGATGTCCTCTCCACCACCTTTTGCCAGCTCCCGTTGTGCAGTGGTACCCAGACAGCTGCTTGGCAGAAGTAGTAGCCAGAGTCTTCCACATCCATGTCACGTACCAACAGGCGGTAGGAGTTCCTATCTACATGGCTTAGGCTGATGAGAGTCGAGTCACTGACGACAGAATCGCGGTCCATGCTCAGCAAAACCTGAGCATCTGACAAGGTATCATCAGGTGAGGCAGAAAAATACCATGTCACCTCCGCTTGGAAAATACCACTCCTGTCTGTTGTGATGTTGCATGTAAGATCCAGGGAGTCTCTTTCAGTCACAGACATGTTGCTCGTGGAGATGATCACATCTAGAGCTTAGAAATGAAGAGACAAAAATTCAAACAAAAAAAAAAAAGGAAATGTATTTATCTTTTAAGAGTCCACTCTAAGTTATCCAGGACTTCACGTCCTATTACAGAAGCTTCTGAAGTAGCTCAGTAGCCCTACCTTCAAATGCCTGTTGGATATTGAGCTGCATGATCTATTACAAGGGAAGTACACATTATCAGTCAAGCAATGCAGGATGAGGGTGGGGAGAGCAAGGGAAGGAGAACATGGTTTTTATAACTCAGCAGCAACTGGTCCATGAAGGCTTTGTCCCAGTCACAGACCACATGTTTTCCTGCTGTGCAAAGGTGACATGTGCAGGATTTTCTGTTCTCACAGGCGGGTCAAGGTGCTTTGGGACTCTCCCTCAGAGCAGAAAGTGTCCACTGAGATCACTAGGAACCAAATTAGAACTTGAATTGGTTTCCAGTGAAATGGCTTTGAGCTCTCTAGCAGAAAAAATTCAGATGAGAAGCAGCCACAGCCACATGTGGAAGTCCTGACTGACCTCAGGTGTGCGGCAGAAACATCAAAAGGAAGCAAACTGAAGGCAGCAATAACTCCTTATACTGCTGATTCCTCCTCCACTTACTGCCCTGACCAACATACACTGGGAACTTCAAAGCTATGCCATCAGCCATTTAAAAGATATTTAACCAGCTCTTCCACTGGCCAGTGAATATTTTTAATATATATAGCACACATGGTCACAGCCAGCATTCAAACGGGACCTTCTGCCTTCTGTCAGTTACCAGGCTGGCCGTAGCTTTGCTAAAGGACAGACGTGGGATGAAAGTGTCAGGACCAAGAGTAGAAAAGCTGACCTTAGTTACTGGTGAGAGGTGAACAGGGAATGCTCTGTGTGTGTGCTTGTAAATCCCTGTGCAAATCATTCACCAAGTTACCTGGCCACCACCTGTCTTCACTTGCTCCTTCCTTCATTTTGCATTGACTGAAGATTAGGTCTGGATGAGCGCAGCACCATGTCCACAGTGCGTAACACAGCTACTCTTAAAGTCTCAAATGGGGCCAGCAGACAGGGCTGCTATAGCAGTGGCTCTTCTCAGCTGATCTACAACCCAGACCACAAGCAAGAATAGATTCCTGCCTTAAACAGGCAGCAGTGTCTCTGCTGCAAATTAGGGACTTCTATATAAAACCATGTTCTACTACATAATAGGTACCCGCGTGTAAAAGCTTCCTAGGACAGACAACATATGAAGGCCAGAGCCAAACTGAGCAGCCACAACTCTTGCCAATAAGCTCAAGCAATACTCCTATCTCACCACTCACCCAACCTGACAGCACAGAGCACTCCAACTGAACAGAGGGTAGCAAGCCCCATCGGAGTCGTAAAGCGAACTCCACTGTCCAGTGAGTATGTCACTGGGACTTCCCTCCCTGTCTTATCATGGGACTGGAACCAGTAGGAAAGCCTAGTTAATTTAACAGATGAATACCAGAATATAAAGTAAGACTGATCTGCAAGTTTAAGTGCAGCATTTCTCCGAAGAACACTTCTGTCTTCATGAAGTAGTGACGGGCATTCAGAGGGACCCTAAGAGTTTATCCATGTGTGTATTCTCAGTGGTCCCTTTTTGGTTACAGATGTATATGAAGGCCTCACTTAGGGTTACAGAGCTGTTGCGCAAGTCTCTATTTAAAAAAAAATAAAATAAAAAAATAAAAAAAGACATAAGAGAACAAAGTCAGGCCCAAAGGTACCATGATTTTAGGAGATGAAAATAATGGGCAAGTAGATGTAAGAGGAACAGAAAAAAACCTATACTGTTACATAAGTAACCTGTGTGCGACGACTTTGATTAGATTTTTTTTTTTTAATTTGTTTCTACAAATTCAACCCCACAGTTTACAGCAGAAAAGAATGAGGGAAGTGCAGCAACCAGGCACACCATTTACAACACAAGCTCACTTTAGTACGCAAGTGCAGAGGTTTCAGATGTCAGCACAAGATGCACTTCAAGTCCTACTACAGGATGTGTGGGTAAAAAAATTCTACAATATTTTGCTGGAGAATAAACTGTCCTGTTTAGCACAACTTTTAAAAAAGCCTTCATGACCCTGAAAAAATGCCACAGCTGCCAGTGGCTGAGCTTAAAATTAAGGGGAAAAAAAAAATACCCACAAAACTGCACACAAGCCACATGAAAAAACTGCATTACTACTGTTCCTGGCCATTCTCACTCTGTTTTCGACCCCACCTACTTAAACCCAATTCTCCAAAACTAGAGAATTACAGCTCTTAATTAAGCAAGCCCTGCCTCAGCAGAGAGCACCTGCAAGCTTTACTGTGTAACAGACACCCTGAAAAAGCAGGGGCAGATTGATCCTGTCAAATTTCACAAGCTAAGTACCACCAGGATACTAAAACTACATCCAAATGAGCTAGCCAACAAAAACAGCAGTTCTGTGCTCTCCCTACAGTGATTAAAGGATTACAAAAATGAAAAGATACCCTTACTGTCTGAACAATTCTAAAATATCATCATAATCTCACATTTCTGAGAGACCATCATTGCCTGTTTTTCTACCTACAGAGTGACAAGATGTGTCACCCCCCAGCTTTCCCTCCTCCAACTAGCAGTGGTAATGCTAATGCAATTAAGTGCTTAGTGCATCTACTCCTGAAATCTAAATGGGCAGGGATATCTGGATATCCACAGCACTAGACAGGTTTCTGTCCCCTTAGTCAAGCATGAATTTATGGGTTTAACAGAACCATTACTGTCCTAGACCCCTGCCAACATGGTGGAGCAATAAGACCAGTGATCCAGTGTCAGTGATAAAAATCACTGGATAATTTGTCCTGTTAAATTATCGAGTGATTTCTTCCTTTCTCTTGATCTTTCTATTTTATTAAAATAAGTAACACACAGAAAAGCTTCACATCTGTCACTGAATCACAAGCCTCTTTTACAGGGGAGTGCAGCTCTTCAGTGTTATGGGACAGCTCTATGTTAATGAGAGAGCAGAAGGAAGTTATGGGGTGCTCAGAGGTTAAATACGATGTTTATTTAAGAAATAAAAACTAGAAGCAATCTGAAGTGAACTAAGGATTAGATAAAATCTAGGTGTAGGCATCTAAGAAGTTCCAGTCAATCCTTCCATGTCACCATCTCCCCCTCTCTACAAAATAAAAGCTAGAAAAGTTATGCCAAGCATTTGATATCAACTCAGATGTGAACAGGCCAGTTATCCAAACAGTACTCCAGGTTCTTCTGGAATAGTTCCTAATTTAGTTCAGTTTACCCAATTCCTGCTCGCAAAGTATCAGTCTGACCACAGCACTTGTAGCTACGAGCTGTGACCCCAGCCCATCAGTAACACTCACCAGTCCGCTGGACCGCCACACTTCCTATCTCCACGCTCTTCTCCTGAATCTTCTGCCACGAGCTGTCTGCCCCTCTCACCCACTCACTCACAAGACATCTGTAGGCACCCGCATCCACCGACGAGGCCTGGGATACAGATAACCGATACGTGTCATTCGCTCCTGTGTCCAAGCGGATATCTCCATTACGGTAGCGCTCTTCATAGCCAGGACCCGGCTGGAATTTGCCCTCATGAGTCAAAGATAGGATGTCCCGCCAAGTCGATCCACTTTTGATCTGCCAAGTCACATGCAGGTGAGTGTGCTCTGGTGAGGTGGTAACTGCTGAGCAGCGCAACTTGAAGGAGTCGCCCTCAGACAGCCTGAGAGACGTCGAGGAACGTGCTTTTGAACCACTGACTGATAAGCCATCCGAAATCACTATGGAAAAAAAAAGACCAAGACACGAGCATCATAAAATGGAAGCAAGAAGAACCCACACTGACCTGTTCAGATACAAGGCAGTAAAACTACCAGAGAGCAACACCCGGCCAATCATTCCTTCTTCCACATAAATAAATTCCAGGAACAAGGAAATTCAGCTGAAAACCCATTAAAGGAAGTGCTCCACTTAAAACAAGACAAGCATTCAAATTCATTTATCCTTCCCCTTGCTTTAGTTTCTCATACAAACATCGTCATTCTGACTATTTCTATCCAGAACCATCTTGATTTTCATGGGAGTAAAAGATAAGACATTTGAAAAAAAATAGTCTGTCAAGTTGTAACTGAAGAACAACAAATGAGAGCGCAAAGCTAGACATTGACTGCAGTATCAACATGCTAAAGGGGAAAAGGAAGATTACCTCCTTTGTATACATAGATCCCTAAACGACACTATAAATAAGAGAAGACAGGCTGTGGTTTTTACCTGAAGTTAGCCCCTCTACCCAGAGGCTTAAGGACATTAAATATTTACAGACATCTTCAGAAAACCTACTGCTTAGTTTTCCCTTTTTTATTTACATATTTACTAGACAGAAAAAATGAAAAGTGGTGTTTATAGCAAACAGCCTCTCTTCGCTTCTTCACCACACTTGCCTTTGCTATTATATTTCTCAATTTATAATTTTGGCTTTAGGAGAACTAAACAGGAACAGGACCAAAAAAAAAAATCACAATGTAAATTCAACATTCTTAATGGTACGTCTATAATCGGTATCAAAAACAAATTTAGAGCACACCTCACTCTTCAGAAATACCTTTCACTTGGACCTCTGCATCGTAATTTCCCTGAACGGTGGCATCAGTGCTGGGCGTGGAACATTTGTATCTCCCTTGGTCAGTTGGCTGGATGTTTCTAATCACAAGTTCCACAGCATCGTTGCTGCTCCGTCTCAGTTTGATATCCCCGAGGCCCACGCGTTTTTGGTACTCCTCAGAGGTGAATGTAGGATCCCAGGTACTCACTATCCGCACAAAGTCAGTCTCCCGGGAGAACTCCCAGTCAAAGTTCTGTTCACTGGGTCCATCGTAGTCACTAACGCTGCAAGGGATCACCACCTCCGTGCCCGTGACTCGAATAAGAGGACCTTTGGGCACCCTCACAACACGCCCTCTGCAGAAAGCTAGGTAGGAGAATAAAGAGGGAGGGAACACAGTTAACAAAGGAATTACCAGGATAGAAGAAAAAACGTTACATAGAATAATGTTGGGCACCCCATTCTGCAGAAAGCTACAACTCGTAAGAGCAATATTTTCCATTAACATTTAATCTCACTGGAGCAAGAGCCCCTGAAACACCATTTTTAGTGTGGGCAATCTTGTTTCATTGTTTATTTAGTAACCTATTAGGTAACAAAATAGAGAGAGAAGATTGGGGGGGGAAGGAGGAGGGGAAGAGAGAACTAGCCATAGATCCAATGGGTAGCCATTTCTCTACTGCAAGCCAAACGCTATGTAAGATACTTAAACACTAATAAGTGGTTTTCATTACTACAGTGAGGATAATAATCTAATTGGGCATTTTTATAAGTCCTCTGCTGACATCAGTAGAGGGTTCAAAGTAGGAAACTAACTCTCCCTTAGCTTCAGGGCAGTAAGAATAGCAAGTTGACATTCTCCAAAAATGAGCATAGTCACTTCTGCCCTGAAGGGTCATGGCTTCTCTAACACAGGTGAGCTTCCTTGACTTCCCAATAGATTTAAAAGAAAGACCTGATTTCAACAGACAGTTTGCTTGAAAGGATTTCTGCAACCACACCTGTTTCTGGCACACAATTCCTCCCTGGTGGAAGTCCCAGATAATGGGAGCATGAGCAGAAGGGGGGAAACACACAGCATTCAGACTGTTTTCTAGGACTGTCTCACTAGAAGGAAAAAATCAACAGCAGTTCTCTGCAGAAGGCTGGCAAAGCGGTATGTTATGCTCCAGGCAAAAGTGTGAACCCCTTAAACTAGCCAGAGGACCTGGCAAAGATGCAGCAGGAGACTTTTCTGGTTGACCTGGCCCTGTAGCCCAAAGAATAACCTCAGCAGCTGCACATGGATTTTGGCAGATTCTTACTTCCCAAAAGGGTAAACTGCTTTGATTCATAGTTCCAACCAGAGAAATCTTTTCATGAAGAGAAGGGTACTACCTAAACTCAGTCTCCAAACATAAACAGCCTACTGCTTCCCGCCAGCTCCAGATCCATAGCAAAGTATTTTAGCAGGCAGGTAGAACAGGGGAAGGCAGAACACTGAAGGACAGATCTTGCTAAAACTAAGTAGATGGCTGTAACAACATGAAAAGCAGTTGCATCAAAAAATAACACAGAGGCAAAGCCAAGTTTAAAAAAACAACTCCCCAACACACAAAGTCCAGCAACCCACAACTGCTCTAATTCACCAGCCGCATTAGAAAAGCCATCAGCTAGTGACAAAAACACTAATATACTGAGCCTTCACCAGCTATCACTCCGTGTCATCTGGTTGTAGATTAAGACCCCACTCGCTGGCTCAGAACCATCATGCCAATAGGTATCCAGGTGTGGGCAAAGAAGTTAGTCTCATGGAGAGAAACCAGGCACTGGGGAGCCTGTTACAATGTGCAGCTGGTCCCCTCCAGAGAAGCCAAGAGAAGGATGTGTTAAAGAATCAAGATTTCTCTGGGATAACTGAGAAATAACTGAACATAACTACAAGAGAAAAAGCATATTTTTACTCGCAAACAGTTGCACCAAAGACTAACAGTGTCTTTACCTCCCCGGTATGTAGCTCCCAGCATGCTCTTTGCTTTGCAGGCTGTTCATGTGTACAGGCTCAGTCCTAACAGTCCAATTTCCTCATTGCCATGACCTTCTGCATTCGACATCAGTACTTCATTAAACTTATTTGTAATGCGGGCTGGGGTTAATCTCCTACCCCTTATATCCCTCCCAGAAGACAGTTATTAGGTGCTTGACCAAGGGATTGACTAGCCCTAATAAGGAAGCTGGACTTCTCTGCACCATTCACGTGTGAATTGGAGAGAAAACCTCCATTGCCAACATATTGTTCCACAGCCAGATGTGTTTACAGATGTCCTTAAAGACAAGCGCCATGTAGTAAAATCATTTATACAGAAAATTAACCAACAAATAATAAAGCAAGCAGCGCAGCTCCTACACATTTCCTCACTAGGTCTTTAAGTTGCAGCCTCGTTCAATCCTTCAACTTATCCTCTTACAGAAAGCGGTAACAGCAGCAGGTAAGCCTTAAAGCACTGCTGACAGCCAAACCAGTTTCCAGCAGACCCCCCTGAGAAGTCAGCTCAGGACCCTGACTGAGGGCACTCCTCAAAGGCTGACATCTCCCTAGAAAATACTCCCCCGTGACATTAAAACAAGCAGGCAACCCCGTTCTGCATGTGTCTTCAGCTGCAGACCCACGCAGAGCACTGTGCTAATCCGACCCAGAGGTGACAAAGGCATGACTAATGTGGCAAGGGCTGCACATTTGTGTTTGAGATTAGCACCGACAGCTCGGTTCCTCTTCTTCCCAGGTCACTGAAGACCCTCTCACACTAAGTGAAGGTAGGGGGTGATTAGCACCTTCATAAGAGAAGGGGCAGGCCAAAGGGAAAGATAGGAGCATGGGGACTCCTCAGCGGGTCCGTTCAGAGTCTGTACCCTGTTGCTGTAAAGCAGAGCCTATCCCCCCAGCCCTTAGAAGTTCCAGTTTAACACAAAGCTGGAAGGAAGGCGGTTGGGAAAGGCTGCATGAGAACATGTAACGGACAGCCTGTCACAGTTACAACTTCAAAAATAGTAACATTCCTTACTGCTAAGATGAGGATTCTCCTAAGGCAGGAGCACACGGAGGCAGCATCACCAGATGAGAGAAGAACTTACCCTCCTACCCTGCCCACAGAGCACACTCCAATGCCAGCTGCATCTCTAGGTGACCCGGGAGGCTCAGCATCTAGCAAGCTGGGAATTCAGGGTTCTGCCTTTTCTCCTGCAGCAGTCAACAGCAAGAGGATCCCTAGCTACCAAACAAGGTGTTATGTTCTCTGCTGTGCACTAGCAATCAACTTTTCACGTAGCTGTAGCAGAAGGCACAGAGCTACAGACACTGATCTTGGCAAGAGGTGAGCTCCGTGTTACTCTGGCAGATAAATGAGGAGCTTTTACGAATATTTTATCCCTGCAATGTCCTGTGTGATTCACATACACCCCCTCCATCTTCCCAGAGGAATCTAAGTTCAGTTTTCATGATATGAGAGCTTCAAACTCTGTAAATTTGTTGGAAACATTTATTTTTCATGACACTTAATATTTCACTGTTAATATAAGGTGACATGTTCTTAAAGAATTCACTTGAATCCCATGTAACTGCAGAAACAGATGGAGCAGGACAGAACAGTGTATACACCAGTGACAGAAAAAAACAGAACTTTGACAGTTTAGTATTTTTCAGTATCACTGGGACCACCAAAGATGTGTATTTAGTAGTAACTCGTTAATTGGCTCTGTATCGTGAACTGCAGTGCCGGACCATCAAACCTGCCTCAGCACATGATTAATTGCCTAAATGCAAAAATTTATTTTCACAGAGTTACCAGACCACCAGAGGAGGTTGCAAGAAACTGTTTTCCAAAACAAAAGGTAATGGAGACCCTGTAAGGAGGCCAGCACACAAACCCAAGGACTTGTTCCTTGGGCTCATCAGACCAGTGAGTGGACTACTAGGAAAAATCCTGTTGCTTTTGCAGGGTTGGGCCAGAAACACCCAAGAAGTAAGGCAACCACAGAGCCTTCACGGCTGTTTGTCAAGCACTCGATTAGAGGATTCTCCCAAGGGAACACATGAAATACTCCACCAGGAACACAGGCAAAGTGTGGCTCAAGTTAGAATAATAAACTGTGGCCTGCAATATTAATAATACAGAGGCAAGACAGCCCAGATATAGCCTAGGCAATTTTAAGCTAGTGTTTGTTCCCTAGGAATGGTCCATGAAGCACTTAATTTTTCCCATCACCTAGATGTACCATCTCATGGCTGTCATTAAATGAAGTCCTTTCAAAGAGGAGAACAAGGAAAGCAAGTGACTGAATTGATTGGTTGTGAAGTCAATCCAAGTACATTAAATAGCAACCTGTCGTTTTTAGGATAACCACGAAAACAAGGCGGCAAAATCGTGCAGGATCTACAGAACAGGTAGCCTGTTTAAACTCTCAACAAGATACACAACTCCTCAAGGGCTGGTGAGGATTTCCTCTTGCATTAGGGCTGTTGCTATAGATGAGCAAAGTCTTCTAGGAGCTTCATCTTCACACAGGTTTTGCACCTATGTATCATTTATGAAAGAACAAGGCTGAGAAGGTATTATTGCAAAGAAAACGCTTCTGCTTCGGCACTCTGACACAAGGTGCTTCCTCCAGCCTGCTTGCGCTAAACAGCTCTATCTAAGAAGAAAACAAGTTCTCTTAGCATCCCGAAGAAGGAGGTCGACTCCCTATGTCCGCCAGCCAAAGGAAAATGCAATGTGACATGCAGTAGGAAGCCAATTAAAGCCAAAAAAGTAAGAGCTGAGGAATAAGTAAATTGGCTCCAACGAAGCACTCGAGCCTGTGCATCGGAACAACTTAGAACACACAGTCCAGCTCCTCAACCAAGGCAGGCAGGAGAGACATAGCGACAACTTCGCTGATGCCTTTCATCTCAAAAGAGCTTCCCCAAACAAAAGGTTGTTTCATTTGCCAACTAAACATTACCATGTCTGGGGAGGAAATACAGCAGCCCATTCAAATTCACAACAGTTTGTGACAGGAAAAAACCACTGCAGCCAACTTGGCAAATGGTGGTAACCATTTTCCCTCCCTGAACTCCACCGTTTACTTTCAATCCAGGCACCACTTTGCTGCAGCACCTGGTGAGTGAGGGGGTTGAGTGGGGACAGCCCTTCCGTGCCACACTGGAAGATAAGCAATAGATTGCTCACCATTAAAGCTGTGCACACTGCCTCCTACTTCTAGCAAAATCCCAAATCCCCGACTCCTATACTACACTGCTTAGCTACAGTGTCTGTGATGCATGAAAACATATTACTGAAAATCAAGAAATATACTTGAAATCTGCATTTTTCTGTCCCACCAAAGAGACA